AAGTTGTTCCAGCTGATATGAATAGAGAAGCTAGGAGAGATTATAATAGAAGCAGTGTAATCTCTAATAAGGGGACTAATAGCCTTAGGAATAGACCAAGAAGCATTGATAATCCAATCTCCTAGCCTAGATTTATGACTGTAAAAGAAAAGACAGGAGGAAGCTAGAAATTTTTTTGCAAGAGTTTCCCCAGCGCACCAATGATCCCACAAGATAGCAATAGGACTATTATAGTTGATATGATATTTTAAAATTCTTTTTAGCCAAAGAAGCGGGGGATATGATAGATTTCTAGAAGGAAGTTTCAGCCGGTTGGGGAGGTCTCCAAGGTGTAGAATATCTAGCTTTAATCCAATTGGAGATAAAAGAAGCATTGTTGTAGGATCAATAAATAATCCCATAGTTAACCGCAAATCTAGTCACCACTAGAGAAGGAATGCCTAGACCACCTTTGTATAAGGGCATTCAAGTGTTAGCCCAAGAAATGAGGTAAAGCCTCTTATAACCACTATGACAAAAGTATAGAAATTTAGAGCATAGATTCCAATAACTTTGATTTTTGTTTTTTGTAAAATCATGCCACATAGCTAATAAGCCACTATATTTACAATGGTAAATTTGATGTATTACGATCTACCTGTAAAAGAGAGCAGAGATGCCTTCAACTCGAGATAAAATTTTGATAAGGCTTGAAATTCATCCCCCTCTATCCTCTTCTTTAATAAGCTTCAATCTATTGCTTCATAGTTTGGTTGGTTAGTATTTTTTACACCTCATTTTATCTTTCTTAAGCTTGTTTTAACTCATTGGAATGTTACGGGAATTGGGGGAAAAGACTCTATTGTTAGAGTTAAGAATTTATCTAGAATGCATGGTATATTCTTTTTAGTTTTAATTGAGCCTCTTATTGCCAAAAGTAAAATTGATTCTACTGCTTCTAAATTAGGCTTTTCTAATTTTGCTGCTAACTGCTCAAACAAAATTTGGATCATGTGGAACAGTAACATCAATATTAATATTATGTTGGATCATCCTCAAATTATCAACTGTGAAATTGAATTATTCAATTATAAGTGTTTTGGCTCTTTTGTTTATGCTGCTTCTTCTAGATGGAATCGTTTCCCTTTATGGGAACAAATGCGCCAATTTGCTAATAATGTTAATGGCCCTTGGTGCATTGGTGGAGACTTTAATATTATTTCTAATGCTTCGGAAAGGAGAGGAGGTAATTTGCCTAATTCTAATGCTATGGAAGATTTTAATTCTGTTATTTCTGATTGTTCCTTGACTGACATTGGCTTTAGTGGTAATCCTTTTACTTGGAATCGTGCTACTATTTGGCAGCGTCTTGATAGAATTATGTTTAATAATGAGTGGATGTCTACTTTTACCATGACCTCTGTTGATCATCTTAGTAAAATGTTGTCTGATCATTGTCCATTACTGGTTACTATTAATGCTAATAGTAGAGTTGGCAATACTTCTTTCAGATTTCAAAATATGTGGCTCAGTCATCAGGACTTCAAAAATGTTATTAGTATAAACTGGAATGCGCCTTTATTTCCTAATAATGACATCAAGGGTATGCTTAGACTTTGCCTCAAACTTAGTAGATTAAAACATGCTTTAAACTGGTGGAATAAACATGTTTTCAAAAACATTTTTACAAACATTAAGGAAGCTGAATTGAAAGTGCAAGAGCTAGAGATTGTTTACATGAGTAACCCTTCCAATGATAATTTGTGTTC